AAAGTAGATGAGGGAAGCATGGTATCTTAAACAGTTCAAGGACAATGGGGAAAAATTTGAAGTTACATACAGAACCCACCCTGTCTGAAAAGCTAGACTTGTCCAACACTTGGGGGTTTTCTACATCACCACAGAATTATTTATACTTCAGTAACCACTGAAAGCTTTACCTGTGGACTAGGTCATCACTGTGTAATACACTGGACAGCATCCCACAAGGAATTCCTGCTACAAAGTGCTTTCCATCTTTTTATAAAAGATGCAAAAGGCAAACACTAAGTTATGGAAGTAAGCATACCTGAGTAAGTAATTAAAAAGTATTCATAATTGAAACAGATGACGCTCCTCTCAAACCACAAAGTTCCCCGTAGTGAGAAGCACATTTTAGACTAACAGACCCATTACAAAGCACCCTGCCTCAGCTTCAGCATTCAGCACACACCCACCAAGCTGGCTTGGAAGCAAAGTTCTGCTTCACCTGTTAGTGTTGAAAAGGATCAAAGTTAATAAAGTGCTCAATAGAGAACGCTTTTTGTCACCAAAAAGGAACATGAGGGATGGGGAGGGATGGTGGTGCAACAGTAGTTAATGCAATGTCTTTAGAACAATACATTTCCTTGCTACTTCAAATGTAAAAGATGATCCCCCTCAAAAAAGTTATTAAAGACTTGCAGTTCAGATGCAAGAGGAGAGATCAAACCCACCTTTGGAAGTGCCTCCTCAAATTCAAAAATATGCTGTGATTACTGGCAAAGCATTTTCGCTCTGTCTGTGTGTGGGTAGCAGCATGTGTGCACCATAACTTTCTCAAAATTTCAGCAAAGAAACATTTTAGGATTTTAGACCATTTCAGTTGTACTGCCAGCAGCCCCAGTCCCACTAATAGAAGCATTAAAAAAATATCCCAGACTAAATTTATTCTCTCTTCTAATAAGAAAATTTAAATATAATTATTTTATTATTATGAATGCAAAAAAACTTTAGACAACGAATGTGTTTGGAGTCAGGTGAATAGATTCAGTAAAACCTTAAATCAAGGAAACATACAAATTATTATCTACTGTTCTTAATTTATCTGCTTAGTCTCTCATCTTTCCCTACACCCTCTACTCTCACAGGCCTTAAAAACAGATGCCAACAGTCACATGAAATTTCTTCCACTTCAAAAATTTCTCCCAATTCCTGGAAAGTAGTGGCAAGGAAAAAAATAATTTTGCTCTTGCTCCAATTACATTTTATTAATTCTCATAGTTAGTGTTACTAATATGAAGAATCCTTATTATGAATATTTATCTTGTGGTGTTGTACTGCAGCTATGATAAAGTTTGGTTTATATCTTTCTTCACCCAAGTGAATGCTTAAGTTCTTTTTAGTGATTTATTAATATCTGAGCTCATACAAGTATTTAATTAGAATTAGGATGAGAGACATTTTGACAATCCTCTTTAAAATAGGGTAATTGTAAGGGGACTGTCAGGTGAGGAAGAGAAAAAAAATCCCACCACCCTTGCAGTAATCTTAGCTGTTTCAGAATTCTACTTGAAAACACATAATGAATTTACTAAACCATTGCTGCTGCTACTTATGTAAGCTTTTAGGAACATCCACCATACTAAGGAATTACTTCTCAAAAACAATTACTAATGTTCTCATGTTATGATAGCCTTTCAGCTTTCTACTACCAGGCAAAGCATTTTGGATTATTGTCTTGTCTTTTTCAAGATAGATACCTTGGTTTCTAAGCTTGTTTTAAACTTATTTTTATACTCATAGTCACTTTCTAGCAAGAACTTTGTACTGATTTTGGAGCTTTGAAGAACATATCAAAAAGTCATTTTTGGGTCAAAAATTTTCAATAGAGGGCTTTAAACCTAATCCTAACAATTGTTTAGGTCTAGTTATTTGTTCATTTGAATTATCTCTATAACTATCCCATAAGCAAAATAATGCAGGCTGCTTAGTTACTGCTGCTGTATTTTCTGATATTCCCAATTACCCAAGCATGTAACTTGGTTAACATACTTCCCCCTGAGTTCCAAAGGAAACTAAAGATATCGAAAGTCAACCCAAAACAGCCATAAGCTTGCATAATTTATGCAAATAAAACAGACATGCACTCATCTAAAGGCAGGAGAGATATGAGAAAGTAAAAAGTATCTCACTTGACTTCAATATTTCAGAAAGTGAAGGTAACCTTCTACTGTAAAAGAATCACAAAAATATGTCCCATTTTAATATAGCCCATAGTCTTTTAAAAGACAAAATCAGGAGGTGAAGCAAACAAGTCAAAAAGTAATTGTTTAGTTTGGTTCATTATTAAACTGAAATTTACTTAAGGAGCAAGGTTAAGTTTTCCAAGACACTTATTCCCTAGTAAAAATGAAGTGTCAGGTAAGAGCATTTTGTACAGCTGAAATCACAGATATGCAGATATGTGTGGAAATTGTGCAAAACTCGTGTCCTAAGTAATGCCAACCCAAAGTTACTGTCTCATTTAACTACTTTTCTTTCTTAATGGTACAAGGGGAAAAAAAGTTATTTCTGTAGTCTATTACTATTTATGACTCCATGAAGAGCAAAACAGTCACGTTAAAATAGGGGAAGGCTGATAAACTTAGGAAGAGTTTTCTTCTGGGACATTTTATTGTGGAGGTTTGAAAATTGGACCATGAGCTCTAGGTAATATTTCAGGAGAAATGGCATTTCATAGCAAATAGCATTGGTAGATAGCAAACATTTAGGATTTCCATCCCTACAATTAGCTTTCTAAAGTTAGTTTTGAGGCCATGTATTAGGACATCAGGGTGGATTCTCCAGACAGTCACAGGATAGTTTAATTTCTCATCACTACCTGTCTAAGCTGAGAGCAGCTCAGCATTGCCCAACGACCGCACTTCTCATCCCTCATTCCCAACTTTAAATACCTGTTGGATGTTGAAGGTGGGGGTGTGTGTGTAGTGTTGAGTGCACCTAAGGAGAGGCAAGAAACAAAAGCAGAAGAGGTAGACTGAACTTGCTTATGTCTGCTGAGAAGCAGCAGGTTCATATCATAAGCTTAAAGGTACCAGAAATTTGCTTTTAAGCTCATGTGTATAGTGGTATAATCCCCTCCCATTTTTTCCTTCCTTTACTAAAAGTTTTGACCCTCACAAAGAATTTTACACCAAAATTTGCAAAGAGGCAGGCCTGTCTTAAATACTTTAAAAAGGAAACATTTTCTGTTAACTCTTCCATGTAACAACATAAAAATCACAAAAGCAGACCAAAATATGTTGAAACTCATGAAGATTTTATCTGCTTGTGGAAAATGGACTTCTGCCATCAGCACTCACATCATTCTTCAGTTACAATAAATAATAGGTAAAAGTAGCCCATCCATTTTCAAAATGAAATAAGAACCTATTAATTCCAGTTCTTCAATTTAACATCCACTCTTCTGAATAGTTCTGTAACCAGAAAGTATTTTTGTTTTTTAAGTGACCTGAGGTAAGGGTCAAATGGCAAGACAAAACATTTAATCTGCTGACCAAGTTTACAATTCTATTGCATATATACCCAAAGGTATCAAAGAGAAAGTCCAAGAAGTCAAAATGTTTAACCATTAGCATGTATTGTAGGCAAAATTGTCTCAGCTTGGGAATTTTCACATTATTTAATTTGCCCACCTCATCTACCTGAAGCCAGGATAGTTTACACAAACTCCCCAAACAAAACTTGGTCATTTCCCTAACTTAAAACTGAGGGGGAGAAAAAAAAATAAAAAAAAGGTGTGTCTTTCACTGTGTAACAAAGGAAAAAAAAGTAGTTTTAACTTTTATGAGCTGAATGAAGGGTTGGGAGAGCATGCACAGAAGCTTTTTTGACCACAGCCACAGTATAAATATTTTATAACTGAAAGGAAAAGCCTGCTTGGTATTTTGTTAGTTTATCCTATAGTTCCTAACAGCTGAAATATCTCAAGCCTTGCTAGTTTGGATCCAAACCTCACTTATTTTCTTATTGTTGTTATGTCATACCCAGAAAATACAGTGTATATGATAGTATTTCCTTTTGTAAATTGCTGTGTACCAGGAAGCCTACAAAATATCTCTGCCCATATTGAGACAATTTTTAGAAGCCATTACCCATAGCCATTTCACTGCAGACATACCAGTAGATCACTGCTTTTTCTGGCATAGTTGAAACAGTTCTAGTGACTTCAGTATTTAAGGGAAAAGCTATAATTTTTTGGTGAGATAATAAGATATATAAAATATATTCCTATGGATTTATATAAGTTTGGTGAAAATTTAGCTATGCATAAGTTAAATAAGTTAAAAATAGATATTAATGTTACTCATTCTTAAGAGAAATGACATATGAGAAATTAAGCTAATGTTATCACAAATAACATTATCAAGTCAAAGTATTAAATTTATCAATTTCAAGAAACCAGTTCATCTGTTTGGATAACTCCAAGCACTCAAAGAAGAGTCCAAGTCCTGTTTCTCAACAACAAGGGAAAAAACCAACCTAAAAATGAGAGTAACATACTCAGTATGGAGTTTGAAAAACAAGGTTTCTGATCTGTTCTTGTCAAGACCTATAAATACTATTTAGCACACCATGACTTAAGTTAAATTGCAGTCTGTAAAGAGGATTACCATCCCACTGTTCCTGCCATGGGTTCTTAATGGCCACTTTACAGACTTCAAAGCTTATTCAAGATAAGAGAACAACTTGATAAATACTAGTCTCAGTTCAGCTGCAGACTCATCTCTTCCATCTCCAGCTTTTTTTTCTAATATGGCTGTAGACAGTTTTGACCTCACCAGTACCTTAAACCTTCACTTCCCACGCTGGTCCCTCACAACATGCAGAACTTTGAACAGCACAGTAGAGACCAGTGAGGGCAATCACAGCTCCATGTGAAGACTTGCTGCCTTTAGAATGAGGAAAATAGCACTAGGACCCCAAGAGTGACATTACAGCATAACAGAAAAAAATTCTGTCTGTTCCAGAGTCACTCTGGAGCTTTTACAGCAAAAGGCATGGCAAACCTGTGGAGCTGTCTGTGAAGGTGACAGGTGAAGCACCATCCTAGCACTACCTCCTGGCCCTGGTGCAGGTGAGGAGCTGCAAGAGAGCAATCAGGGTGTGCTGCCAGCAGAGAAGCAGAGCTGCTGGATGACAGGGCTTTGGGGAGAACAGATGAGCTGTACCAAGGCATGGCAGAGCCCTGCACCCAGCAGGGCATGCAGGGGCACTGCCATCTCCAGAAATCACAGGAGGATTCAAGTCCTTTGGCTACATGAGAGGGAAGATGAGTCACAGAATCAGGGTCAAGGCTTTCCTTTCAGCCCTGCTAGCCTCTTGATCTAGCTGAAGCTCACAGGCCAGAACCAACAAGCCCAAAATGCTACTGAGACCCTGATGCCATGGGTAAGGCAGCAGAGGTTATTGTATGGGACAAGTGAGGCAGGTAACCTAGAGCAGAACAGACCTATATCATTTATCATTCATAAAATGGCATGAAACCAATCCCATTCAATGATAAATATTTCTCCTCTAAATATTTCTCCTCTAAGGCTATTATTGCCCCTGCATCCATTTGATTAGACAAGTCATTTATAGGGACTCTTATAGCCACAGTGTACAATTTGTTTCCAGTCGTTAAACCAAATTAAATATGACTGTACAAAAGATTTGAATTTGATGTTTCTTTGTGCTTTTTGAAATTAAGACATACTTTCTATTTGAAAATATATTTGCTTCCTTCCAATATTTGTTGAGGATTTTTACTTTTCTTTGACTGCTTAGTCTACTTCTAGAGAAATATCACATTGGAGCAGGTGGTAGATTTGCTAACTAAAAATAGGACCCTCATTTTGTTTTCCAGCTAACTTCTGAGAGCAAAGCAGGAACAAGTCTGCTGGTCAGCAACACTATCTCATTTGGACATTATTTCTAGTGACAAATATAGATTTTGAGCACAGATTCATCAGGTAGGAAAGAAACACCTTTTCCCCGTATGAAATATTCATTCCTATACGGTGGTCAAAGTGAAAAAAGAAGGCTTTTAGTAAAGTTAGACCAACCTTAAAGTTTTTAGACTTGGTACATCATAAAAGGAAGGTAAAAAAAGCTTAAATTCAGAGAGTTATTAAAAGATCTAAGAAATCCTGCTGGCTCAACTTCTATAGCACTATTAATAAAGATGCTTTTGTAGGTAAAATAAAGAAAAAAAAGATTAAAAGGAGCAATGGATGAGGGGATGATTTTAGACTATATGAAATGTAAGAGGTGAAACTTGTTCTCTGAATACTATCATATTAAAGGACATTTTGCTAATATTAGCTGTGATGACATAAAATCTGATTTTCTGATTGTCAGAAAGTGACTTCTGGTACATATTTAATTTTCTTCTTAAAGATGGATTTGCTTTACACTGTCAGATGCACAGTTAATCAAATATAAAATGTGAAAAACCTTTCCCCAGTTTCCCAATTTCTTTACCAGGTCTGGATAAATTTGGTTTGCTAATGTTTTAAGCATACACAAGATAAATCCTGAGCTGTAATTTTCAAATTAATCTAAATGTCAAGGCTCTCTGCTTGTTAGTCAATGAGTGGAGTATTTTTAGTGTTGTTATATGTCCAATCTAAACTCTCCAGATGAGTACCTACGTTATATGTCCAATCTAAACTCTCCAGATGAGTACCTACAATTTTTTTTTAATTTTAGATGTGTGAATGATCAGAGCACTATTTTAGTCCTATTGTGTGTTTGTTATCTGATTTTGTTTGAAAGGCATCAGTTGTCCCATGCTCTTTGACCAAATAATTCTTGCTTTCCTGTTCATTTTCTTGCTCTCCTATTATGGAGATTTTTTTTATTTTTTTTTTAAACATGAAAACTAAATTACCCTCAGCTTACAAAACCACACTTAAGTTATGAGTTTTATTGTGCACTGCTGCAAAAAACTAGCAAGAAAATGGAAAGCAATGTGTCACATTTCTGCAGAGACCTTTCCCTGACCCATTTTTTTTATAACTCACAAGAAATCTTCTGTAACAGAAAGGATAAGAGACATAAATAAGCCAGTGCTGAGTAACAGAGAAAACATGACTCAGGGACAAGTTTCCACCAAACAATAATATCAGCAAAAAAACATAGCTACAGAGTGAAACACCAAAGCCAAAAGTTAGGAACATTTAACCAGAAGCCTCAATTTACAGCAGTCATCTCACATTCTCCTGCAAGCAGAGAAAAGCATCCAATTCACCTAAAATTGACCTTTTATTGCAGAAAATGATAGTTTGATTAACTCTGGCTGAGTTTATAAGTGCCTCACTTAGGGCCTATAGCTTGTTGTAGCTCCTGGCTCACTCTCTTTGCTCTCAGTGCCTCCACTGGGTGAAAGTGAATTTGAAGGACCAGGGCACACCAGCTCCTGCCTCAGGCACTCTACCAGCACACAACAGAAGGGTGCCACCTTCTTAGGGTCAGAGAATAAAACCACTGAGCAAAGGAACACCCTCCAAACCATGTCAGTGCTGGCAAAGTCAAACTTGCAAATGGAAAAATAAAACTAGTTATAAACAGGATATTTAATAATAGAATAAAGCCAAGGATATCAATGTAAAAATTAAGAAAGCACTGTGGCATAAATATAAAAATAAACATTTACCCTTATCTTAGAAGCTGCTTTCAGCATCCAGTATAATAAAAATCTGACTTTCTCTGTTATTGAGTTGACACCTGTTTTGCTGGTTTGGGCTGAGGCTGAGTTAGTTTTCTTCACAGTGGCTGGCATGAGGCTGTGTTTCAGATTTGTGCTGAACACAGGGTTGATGATATAGAGATGATTTTGTTATTGCTGAGCAGGGCTTACACTGAGCCAAAGCCTTTTCTGTTTTTCATACTGCCATGCTGGGAGGGAGCACAGGGGTGCCTGGGAGGAGACACAGCCAGGAGAGGTGACCCAAACTGCCCAAAGGGATATTCCAGACCCTGTTTGATATATAAAGTGTGAGGAATGGGGGGAGGTTTGAGGGGTGGCATTTGCCTTCCAAAGTTTTACATATGATAGGGCCCCGCTCTGCTGGCGATGCCCATGGGAAGCAGGGAATTCATTCCCTGCTTTGCTTTTGTGCATGACTTTTGCTTTCCCTATTAAACTATCTCAAATCACCAGTTTCCAGTTTTTAGCCTTTCAATATTCTCCCTGTTCCCACTGGTGTGGGAGTGAGTGACCTGCCTGGGCCTTGGCTGCTGGCTGGGGTTAAACCACACACCACCTGCCCAAATGATCCAATTTTTCTCTTGGAAATGAGGTAAAGTACTGAGCTTCATCAGAGCAGATAAAAATAGGAGAGAATAAATAAGAATTATTTTTAATCAGATAGGTTGTTAATACTTATTTTAGAATACTGAAATTAAGCTAAGAACTCTACAAAGTACCTATAAGGGTATTGCAAAAAATAAATTCTCTCATTCAGTTCTAGAGGACTTTAGCTTAATAAACTTTTTGTGTGTTCTGATCTTCTTGAACTCACTGACTAAGCACTCACATAAATAAAATCCTAGAGGATTAGGTTTTAGAGGTAGAATCCTTTTTTCAAGTAAAGAATCTGAGACTAGAGCATCCTATACTACAAAGCAAAGGATAATTTGTATAAATTTAAATAGCAGTAACTAGGAATTACTGCTGTGCAAGCCTAAGAGGAGATAGGAGCACATTATCCAAATGATCTCTTTCTTGCAAAATCCCATTGAATCTATCATGTACCTTTGTACTGTCATATCTAACATTAGTAGAAGGTGAATATCAAACTAGAAATGATCTTTATAAATTGCATAATATATATAAATTATATGATAATAATAATAAATGATCTTTATAAATTGCTTGTAAGAGAAGTTCTTACAAGCCTTTTTAAGTCAGTATTGTAGCAGTTCTGGCCTCAGAGGGTCTTCTAAAGCAGAATTACAATCTTCATGGGTTAGTGAAGCAACAGAAGGATGATTTCTACATGCTATTTTTGTAGTGTGTATGGAAAGGAAGTAAGTGGGAGGAAAACAAAAATGGACTTAAGCATATTGATTTACCAAAGGAAAAAAAAATAGACCAAATATGAAACAAGATTCCATTTTTAGAGCAACTAAACTGAAAAATCAGGTTAGATGAAGATTTCTCTTATGCAAAATCTGTGGAGAATAAAGAAGAGCAAGAATTTCTTCTCTGGCATCTCCCATAATTTTTCCTCTGTTTCCCCTTCAAACATCATGCTATAGCTTATAAGCCTCAATTGTTACAGAAAAAGGTTGTATCCAAGGCCAGAAAAAAAAGAAACTTCCACATTAGCAGCTCTATCTAGCAACTCTAGCCAAGTACTTTGAAGAAGCAGCTGGTGGAGGAGAATGGGGGAGCAGGGAGCAGTAGGGCAGGGAAATTTAGGCAGACCTTTTTGGCCATTGAGGTGTTACTGAGTCTTGCAGGCCCACTCTCCAGAGCATCACCACCTTAACAGCTCCAACATGCTTTACCTATTAACTGCAGAGAAGCAACATGCCCACATTCACACACCCAGGTCAGGAATCAAAGAATCAGTAATGCTGGAAAAGAGCTGTAAGGTCACTGAGCCCAACCTTTAACCTAACACTGCCAGGCCCACCGCTAAACCACGTCTCTGAGCACAACATTTACACTTCACTGAAGTTCTTACATGACTGTCACCAAGGAGATCCAACCCTGGCAGCTGCTAGAGCTCCCTGCTTCAGCCTCATCCATGCAGCTCTCTGCCTGACAAGGAGTTTTCCTCCACTACCTGCTACTGCCACACTAAAGGCAGTGGAAGGCAGATTCCACTAACTCCCACAGTGTCCTGGCCAGTTCTTTAGCAGACTTGGTTGGGCTTTTTCTTTCCATTAAATAAATATTAGACAGTATTTTTTGAATGTCAATTTAATTATTTTTCAAGAAATAATACAGCCACACAAATTCACACCAAACAGGAACAGTATGGTACTCTGTTTCAGGATGTATGGAAGTCCCACTTCAAATGAGACATTCCCAAACCCAGCAATCTAAAACAGCTTCCAAATTTGCCTTCTGCTTTATATTTAATGGCTTATTCTTCTGTTATTAGGAAGAACTATTTTGAAAGAACTAAGAGATTAATGAGTATGTTATGAATATTGATTTTCAAAGTATGCTACCTCATGATTCTACAAGCCTAACATATTTATTCCTAGCTTTTTCATGAACAACCATCCTTAATTTAGCTCTAAACAGCGTTCCATACATTTGAAATATTGTTAGAACTTTGGTGTTCTTACCTGCCTGTTGCTTTCAGCTGCTTAATAGCCTGAGTCCCTCTGAAACCAGAGTGCTAAAGAAGTGTTGGATGTGTCTGGTTTGGTGTTTTCCTCACTCCCTCTGCCCATGCACTGACATTTGTCCTTTTCTTAGGCCACAGAATAAAAGCAAGTCTGTTAAGCTACAACTAAGAAAATATGGGAGCAGGGGAGGGAATCCCTTGTACAGAATACAGAACAGGTCCTGGTTTTCTTCTGAGATCTGTGATTTTTTTTGATTATATAAAGTCATTACTAATTTATTTTTTTTGGGGGGTAGATGTTTGTAAAAAGCATTCACAAATATACATCTCCTTTTTTAACTGATCTAATGTTTTAAAAGATGTCCTGCATATATAGGTAGGCCTCATAATAGTTTGTCAGTGTCATTTTGTCAGCTAGATTTTTCAGTCAAACTCCTGTTCTATTGCATGTTGTAAGGGGGGGCATGTCTGGGTATGTTCTTGCTGGATTTTAATGACCAGAACAATAGCAAAAAAGTAAATAATACACACAATATAAATGGAAGGAGAAACATCCATAAACAAACCTAAACTTCCTTCCACTATGCTGAACTGCAAATATGTATCATCTGGTTAGTCTTGAATAGAAAATGTAGTTTAGGACTAAGACTAACTGCAAATGT